TATCTTGGCAATTGTTCTGCCAATCAAAAGATTATTCCCCCAAACAAATAATACTTTAAATATGTTTTAAATATTTAAAAATATATTCTCAAAGTGGGCCAGAGTGAAAATTTGACTTTGCTAGGACACTTGTTGTGTGCACATTTTCCTATCTAGTTGTAGCTCAACCATTTGTACAATAAGGTGGAAAATGAGAATTGCAGGAGCTCAGCAAGTCTCCTGCAAAGAAAAAAAATCCATGAGAAAATGGCAGAAAAGAGAAAAACCAAACGATGAACCTCTATGCAGCTGTTGAGAAAGCATTATGATAAAACAGGGACAGATTGGTCTTTTAGGAGGTGGGGCCACACAGTGATCCCTGGGCCCAAAGCAAAGACATGGGCTCCTTGTTTAAGTTCCGAGGACTTGAGCATGTCACTTTGCCTTCACTTTCCTATCTTTAAAATGGCCTCATCCAGACTCACACACACACACACACACACACACAAATTGCAAAGTGCAATAATTTCTTGCAAAAACCTGATTTTCTTATTAACATTCTTGTCATTTTTGCTCAAGAACAAGAGGTTCTCACCCAGGGGCTGGTTATAGTGAAAAACCTCACGCCTGGTCACCTGATTCTGCATGAGCATTTTCACTTTGCCTTTGGCAAGCTTCTGCTTCTTCCTAGAAGAATGTTCATGCCAACACCAAAGCTATTTGACTTCTAAATATAGTGTAACAGATGTGAGCGAGGACCACATTTTCTGTGTTACACAAAAGATCTTTCTTTTACCCAGAAAAGCCAGACATCAGTCCAGTTCTGGGTAGGCTCAGCAATCTCAGTCAAGGTCAATGGGGATTGGGTTGATTCCCCTTTTCAGTTATGTTTACCATACACCAAATTTTCTTAACCTATGTCCACGAACAAGTGGGCATCCATGACTAGTCTCTAGAGATTCATCAATTCCTTAAAAACCAAAGGTGATAATATATATATGATTTTTCTTCTGTTATTTCATTTGTTTTTCAAAGTGCCCATGATGCAGAACACTACTTTAGATTGCTATGTTGGGTATAGATTCAATGATTTTAATTTAGCATTTCAAATACTTGGGTATTGACTGGCTGATTTGACTTGTGGACCCCACAGCACCCAGCATTTTCCTGGGGCTCCATGCAGTGCACACATGCTTGGAACTAGGGACATGGGTCTTTCTTTACTGAAGACTTGTCGATTTTTTCACTTGGGGCCCATTTGTTCCCCAAATATTCTTAGTTTAAATGATTTCTCAGGAAGACCAAGGTGACTTTGGCTCTTCTCAACCTCCTCATCCTTTCACAACTGGCCCTGTTTCTAAGTTGTGACCAGTGAAAATGTAGACTAGTAATTAGTTTGGATCAGCAACATGCTTGTTGAATAATACCTATTGGCTGGCAGAGCAAAAGGGTTCACAGTGCAATTTAAATGTATGATCCTGGGGGTGATTTGCATATAAGGAGTGCACCAGTTCCTAATGCTTCCCAGTTCTCCCTTAGAGAGGATTATGCATGACATTTCTTGGGCTGTTAGTCAAGAGAAAGGTGGCCTATGATTGAAGCCTAGAATAGAAATTTCACCTTGTTTTATAAGAATTAATTACAAGAGTCAAAACAATTCCCTACCTCTTTTTCCATCTTCATTTCTAATGTTAGTGGAACCTTACTTAACTTCTGCCTAATTCAATTTCTCCAGCAATTTAAGTCTCAGTTCAGAGTACCTTCTCAGATGGCCATTTTAAGGAAAATATACCAATAGATTTTATCAGAGACACTGAAGAGGTGTCCGGGCTCATTTCCCCCTCTGTAGTCGTAGGAATATGGTCAAATATAATACTAAAAGACTAAATGCTTGTGGCTCTTTTATATATATTTAAAACACACAGTAAGAACATAAGAACATCTCAAATCAGTTAGAAGGGAAAAAAAAGTTATCAACCAAAATCTTTGGAAATTTCATAAAATTTAAATATCTGCAAACAATCCAACCAAAATGGAAAAAAAAAAAAAAAAAAGAAAAAGAAAAAAATCTCAACATTTGGCTATGGAGGGCACTTCACAAGTGAACCAAATGACATGATAACATTTTCCTTCAGGTAAGCTAGTCACTAAATCCCATTCAAAAGAATACAAGAGCAATATCAGAGACATTTCCCAATTCCACGCACATGGTGAGAACATTCCTTTAGGAAGGGCTCATCTACCATGGATTCCTTTACATTGTGTACATTACTTTACATCTCTACAGTGCAATGTTGAAACAGCCTCCAAATTTTGTAAAGTAGATTTGATGTCCATTCTACAAAAATATTAACTTACAGTACATAACACTGAATAATTTTAATCTGTACATTTCCCCTCCCATCATAGGTGACACGCGTCAGTTTGTACAAGTTAGAAAAAAAAAAAATCTGGTTGTTTACATCTGGATTAATAGTCAACAGTCAACCAGAAGTTGGTAGGGAGGGAAGAGTTTGAGAGAGTATAAATACAGTGGAATATTAATTGTGGTTAACAACATTCAGCTTTTAACAAAGTGATACAAAATAAATCTTCTTAAATTTTTTTTTTTTGACTGAAAAGATCTAGCCGAGAATGTTCTGCCAAACAGCCGACCAAGTGATCCGAAAGGTTAAGGCTGACATGAGTTAGCAACCTACAGCACAACCCCAAACAGTGGCGCAGTTCAGAGCTCTTCAAATGCATAGTTTCAGTGTTACACACACATGAATTACACTCCTTCAATTAGTGAATCCTCTAGACACTTTTCTTTTTGTTTTGCATGCATCCCGTTCCATTTCATTAAGGGCATCTCATCCTTGATCAACCATGTACTTTGCTTTTCAATTTGTTTTTGTGATTTTTTTTTTTTTGTATGTTTTGTTTGTTAAGCTGTCAATACCTCCAACACGTGGAAAATGAAATCGAGATGCAGTCTTACAGGACAGCATCATAGGACAATGCAAAATGAAATGAAGCAAGTGTCAGAAACAGTTTATAAAAATGGCACATTTATTGCTACAGAACGGTCATGTACATGACTTCATCGAATAACTACAGATGGGAAAACAGGTAATGGCCTAGACCAAGCTGGGTTGTTTTTGTCTTGAAGGAACTCCAGCACACAACCTGTTTGGACACTTCTACAAATCAGAAATACACCAAAAACATGAAAAAATCGAGGCACTCAGCCACACATTGAAAACAAGGTGTAACTGTTTTATCTTTTTTTTTTTTAAACGTTTTCCCTTTTTTTCTTTTTTTAATAATTTTTTTTTTAGTTTTTAATGCTGCAGCTATGTGTACAGTCGCAAAAAAAATTTCCCCACTGCGACCTACAACTAAAACAAAAACAGAAACAAAAACAAAAAACAAAAAAATAAAAAAAACAAACGAAAAAAAGCTACCATACAGTTTCATCTTGGTAACACATGGTAAAATAACATCTTTTAAATAGTAAAATAAAGTAACAAACTTTTACTCATAATGATTCCAAAAATCTACAAAGAAGAAATATTCAGAATCTGACAAATTTTTTTTGTAATATTCATGGTATAAAAGGATTGCTCCTGCGAAAAATAAGCCAAATATATTTTTTATTTTTAAATTTAGTTTTTTTTTTCCTACTAGGGTGTACTACAGTCTATTTTATAGCAAAAAGAGCACTAGACAAACAAAGCTTTATAACAAAAAGCCAGGCACTGATACATGGTAAATCTCTGCTTTTTTTTTTTTTTTTCTTATCTTCACTTAATTGCATCACAAGTAACAAGAATGAAAAAGGCCACAGTTCATATATTTTCACCATTACATATGTCTATAATACTTGAAATGAGTATGGCAAAAACCAGCACTGCACAAAGATGAGTCCACTTCAAGTCCCATGAGAAGGAGCATGTCTCTAAAGAAAACAAATAAAACCAAAGCAAAATAAAGAGGCCTAAAGGCCCTGGTGCCCCATTGTGTTGGAATTCATCAAATTCCATCTTGACTCTTTTGCTTCCAGTCAGCCAGCAGACTAAATTTTTGTGCTTGTTTATGCTGAAATTGTTTCATTCCTGACTCAAGTTCACTTTTGGACACATCATATTTGCCTGTTGGATGCAAAGACGAAAATCCTCATAACCCCAAGTCTCGATTCGATTCCCTCCCCACTCCCCAACCCCTCATCAAAATAAAGATCACGAATAAAAAAAAAATTCAAGAGATAGGAAAAAAATCAAATCAAAAAACAACAAAATTAAAGGAATCGGAAGACTGAATGAGAACCAGTTGCACCACTGGTGGACTGTTGTATACACATTAGTGTTCCTTGCAGCTACACGAAGACAAATGGTAAGGATTTCTAGATGAACAGATCCCTATTCTGCATATTATAAATCACTCGAATGTGGAGGTGGATCAACTGTTCCAAGTTGCTTTCAAAGTCCAAGTGTCTTAAACCGATCCCCAGTCTAAGCATCATTCATATATATATATATATATATATATATATATATATATGTATGTCTGGTGCAGTATGGACTTTTTAGACATTTTTTTTTGTATATTCTTTAATCCTAACTGTCTTCTGCTAAATTTTATTCAAAAATCCAGTGCAGGATACCAATATCTTACCTGGGTTTGCAAATTACAAAAAAATGAAAAAAACAAAAAACCACACTAAAAAGGCCACGTTCCCTTTCTTCTTCTTCTTCTTTTTCTTTCTTTCTTTCTTTTTTTTTTAAAAAACAGGGGATACCACCCAATTACTATGGAGAGGTGCAGATCATGTTTCTCCACCAAGCAAAGAGCAGCGAGCAGCTTCTGGTGGCCGTTAGGAAGTTTTTCACTTCTGCCCAAAGGGAATTCCACAATAGAGGTATTACATTACGGAGTAATGAATACATCAAAGCTGGTGAACAAGAAATTGCAGCTTTTCCTCGGTTTGACTGAGAACAAAATATAAAGCACCAATTTAAAAAATAACCAAATGACTACAATTTAATGTTTTGCTTTGTTTACAGATCTGAAAAACTTTAATTTAGCTCTATGAAGCACCTTTCTGATAACATGTATCAAAAGTGCCCTCTGAACATGTACATCAATGCAGGGAGCTTCCAGTTCCCTAAAGAGTAAACACCGTATTCCCTTCTGTACACTTATCCTGAATGTGATCAGAGTATACCTGCTTCCTATATAATATTGTTCCTAGGGATACCCGCCTTGAGACTATACAAAATGAGTGCAGAATGGACCACTAAAAGGAAATCTTTAACATACTGAGGGAACAAGTTCACATGGTTTCCATTATTCCAGGAGGAGGGGAGAGTATACATTATTGTCTTCCATACCCTTTTTTGAGCTCCTTTGATAGAACGATTCTCAGGAAAGCCCCAGAAAAACTTTTCATGAAGTCTGATTTCTGCTATTCTCCTAAGGTTTTAATCCACCTCCACATTGTAGGAACTTATCAACAAATCAAAGTATTTTAGTTTTATCGCTACTGAACATATTTACAGTTTTCAACACACACACACAGCTAATCAAAATGTTTATGGGTTTATAAAGATGACCACGTGGTAACTATCTTATTTGTTCTTACATTTTCAGAAATGAACATAAAATTCAGATTCTTGTAGCTCACTATATCATTTAAATGAGACTTTTTTTTTAAAACCACACAGTTTAGAAAAACAAAAACTGATACAATGTATTAAAACACATAATAACAAGAGTCTACATGTAAAAATATAACTTTTACATACACAATTTCAAAATAAGGATACGTTTGCCATTTGTTGCATAAAATTTACAAATGTATTTCATTACTATATAACTGGCAAAACAGGAGAACAGATGGAACATTTAGACCATTTCGATGGATTTATGGCATTTACTCAGTGCTGATAGGTGGAAAAACTACTTGAACAGGGATTGTTTTTTTTTTTTTTTCTTAATACATGCCAAGATTGTGTGGCTGTAAAAATAGAAACGAGTTAGACACGAAAGGATGCTGACAAATACTTAACTAGGAGCACTATTTGTTTACTGCACTATACACCAAAGTCAATCATTAGAAAGATTTACGATGGAAATTGGTTCAATTGTGCCCAGACGTCAAAGCTAGCTATCTGATGAGTTGCTGTGCCATAGCTTGGTCTACGTTTCTATCAAATATGGTTAAGTATAAACTTCATTCATACTGGCCAGAGAAATACTGCACTACCCCTCCTCAAAAAAGTGCAACTTAATGCTTTAGGACTTATAAGGCTTATTATAATGCTGCAGGATGACTGAATATTGGCATTTTCAGACGAAGGAGGAGGCAGGTTAGTTAAGTCATCTACTTTTTAGTAAACCCATTTTGAAAAAAAATCAAGAAAGCAACAAAATCAATCAGCTCTGTCACACTACTTGCAATTTTCTCATTTGACGGTTTTTGAACTTCATTTTTTTTTTGTTTTTGTTTTTGTTTTTTTGTGTTTTTTTTTTTCCAAAAATCTGACCATGTATTCAGAAACGCCTCACTGCACACTACTCCGGCTACACAGGTAGGTAACACTTTAATCGTTTTGTTAAATCACAGCCACTTTGATTATGTTATGTTTCCGATGATATAAACATTGGAAGGCACAGTGGTAACATTGTAGCATTCTAACCTTGTACCTCTGAAAATCCCAGAATAGGGTCACAAATGCAACATTACAAGTCAGACAACAGTTTTGCCATGTCTTGGTAATGCTGCTTGTAATATCTACACATGATGTGACTTTTAAGTCCTGTGTTCCCAAAAGACTGGAGAAACGACTTTCTACTTATTTATGAATGAGAAGCAACATCAGGGTCAGCATTTCCTCCTGCACTGCCCCTCCAGAAGCAGAGTTGGCACTACAGGTTATGGTAACAAACTGGGGAAAGGGACAGAAATAAGACCCCCCCGCCCAAAAAAAAAAAATCCATATTTACAGTAAAATCTTTCTTTTAAAAAAGTTAATCAGTACTATTTTTTTACAGGAGAAAAAAAGTCTGAAACAAATGAACAAAAGCTTACCATAGTCACTAAATTTTTAATATATATTTATATATATATTTATATATATATTTGTCATAGGTCTATAAGATCCATCTGTTCCTCCTACCCTAAGGAATGGCTAATGTCATCACTTCTTGTCATCAGGACGTTTGCTGGTTTTGTGACTAGGGCAGCCGAGCTCCCCCTATTCAATATCCAGTAATAATAAACACTAGCTGACTTGAATACCAACAAAAACGTTCATGTAGTTTTTCTTCAGAAGTACACTTTTTCATTATTGCAAGTTTACAATTTTTTTTAAATTAAATATTTTTTTCAGACTTACAAATTAACTATATTTTTTTTTTCCAAAAGAAGTTTAGGCACAAATGCATTGTTCCACAGTGTGGAAAGATTGCCATTCAGTCTCTGGGCTGCGTCTCAGCCTGTACATACTGCTTTGCACATTCTGAATGATATGTTAAAGAAGTCGTCCCTCAAGTTGCACTTTTTTCTTTCTTTTTTTTTTTTGTTTGTTTTTCTGTTTTCTGATAATTGGGAATGCTGAAACCTCTTGCGTCTGTGATTCCTAACTACTCAGACTTGTCTTATATTACAAAAAAGGGGGTTAAGGAGAAGTGTTTATGTGGGTTTAAGATAATACAGCTGTTAAGGAAGTGGTCTCTTGTTTTAATGAAGCAATGTGGCAACTTGGACCTGAGAAAGGAAAAAAAAAGGAGAGTTCATTAATATACTTATTAAAGAGAAAGTGATTAAAAAAAAAAAAAACACACACACACACACACACAACCAAAAAAACCTTCATTTACCAAGAAAGAAAAATATGGGAAAAGTTGACTCAGGGGTAAATTTGGCTAAGAGTTTGGATAAATCTGGGTAAAAATTTGTGCAAGAGTTATGAGTGAATATTGCAGAAATATTTGAAAACGAACTTGCCCTTTCACATCTGTCCCAGGTGATTGGATGCATCTCCCATTCCGGGGTGCGGGCCAGCCAAGGAGAGTGGGGGAGGCTCTGAGGACACCTTCTCTTCCTCCCTTCTTTTCAGACATGCTGCTTTCGGATTCAGATTCCTTTCTGTGGAGAATGAGAGCACAGGCCATTTAGTCAATGTCAAGGCTTCTCACAGAGGACAGTGATACCTCCTCTGTGTGTGTTTGACCCTTTGGTTAGTTTTTAAGTGACAGAAGGAAAGAAGCAATTAGGAAATGGGCACTACAGTGATTCCTTTGGTTGTTCACTAGTAAAACCTGGATTATATGGAAGATTTGTACAGCAACATTATAGGAGGAAAGGAGTTGGAAAAAGTTAACTAGCCAGGTGCGGTGGTGCACACCTGTAATCCCAGTGGCTCGGGAGGCTGAGACAGGAGGATCTTGAGTTCAAAGCCAGCCTCAGCAATAGCAAGGTGCTAAACAACTCAGTGAGACCCTGTCTCTAAATAAAATACAAAATAGGGCTGGGGGTGTGGCTCAGTGGTCGAGTGTTCCTGAGTTCAATCCCTGGTACCCCGCCCCCCAAAAATAAATTAAATAAAGTTAACTAAGCTCCGATTATTGACAGTACAAATGGAAGGTAACTCAACAATCTGAGTAATCAATGCTGCTGCCCAGAGGTCTTAGCAGCCTGCCCTGAGCAGTTCCTCTGAGGGTTCTTAAAAGTCTAGCGCTGTGGCTCAAGTCCATCTCACCGCACTGCTGCCTGCACTGACCTCGGACTTGCTGCTCCAGGCTGAGGATGACAGCCACGGCCTGGTGGAGGATCAGGAGCTTGGTCTGAGGCTTGTCACTCTTGAGGTGGAGCTGCACCATGCGGCCGAGCTCCTTGAAAGCCTCGTTGATGTCTCGGACCCGCAGGCGCTCCCGGGCGTTGTTGGCCATTCTCCGTTCCTTCTCACGTTCTGCCTTCTGCTCTGGAGTCAGGTCCTCATCGTCATTATTGCTGTGGGTCAAAAAGGACACGACATTTTCTAACGGTGTGGGGGAAAGGAAGGTGTCTAAATTACTTTGTTTTCTCCCAGAGTTGTCAGGAAACTTCCCCATCTCAATCTGCGTCCTTGTCAGTTTTACATCCACTTGACCTTGGCAACTGGTCCATATGAAGGATATTTACCCACACGTGGAACCCCAATCGAACAGGAGAGCATGATCTGGGGAAATGAAGCTTTTGTGGGTAAGTCACACTCTGCCAAGCAGGCCTCTACCCACTATGCTTGGCCTGTTCTCCGTGACCACACTGCAGAAAAATTGCTCACATGCCATCTTTTTTTGAAGAACTTTCACACTGTGACATCTGAAACCTAAGGAAATATGTGACTGAAAAAGAGATTTTGATAGGTCAAAGAAAATATAAGACTGGCAAGTTAATAGGACCAAGAAGAAAGACCTCCGTTGAAGACATCACAGCAATAAGAGTCAAGACAATGGGACCATGCCCAGAGGTCACCATTCCCAGCTCTGAAGGCCTGGAAATCCATGAGCCCTACCTGTGTCTCATTTTCTCCACACAGTAAATGAAAAGTTGAAAAGGAAAAAAAAAATCAGAACAAAACATGACTTCCACGTCTTTAATATTATGGATGTTTGTGATTCCCCAAAATAAGTTGGGGAAATCTGAATTGACATCAGCTATGTAAAACAATACAAAATCCAAACATCTACCCCTTATAAACTGACATGACCTCATGGTGAGTCAAAAATGAAGGCAAACAGGAATCTCGCTAAGAACCAAAATACCCTGATGATTCATAATGAAGGTATGGCTGGGCCTAGTGTGGACTGCACAGATAAGATCAGTTCTGACCGTTTCTGGGTATCTTAGTGACCAATTAGACATTTAGCAGAAGGCAAAGAGGACGATGAGTCATCTGGAAGGCAGAGCGTCTGAGGAAGCTTTCATGGCAGGAGAGTTTCCAACATTTCAAAGGACTTTCAAAGGCAGGTGTGGGAGACGTCCTGTCTCAAGAACAAAACAAAGAACTCTGGGTGACCACTGTGAATGACCATGAGCAAGAAATTTTTTGGGGGGTATGAAAGATCAAAAATGGAGTAAATGCCACTAAAAAGCAATGACTCCCTGTTGTAAGAAATACTATGGAAGTGACTACCTATCCAGCCTTTAGCCTAGAGGTTCTGGCATTCAGCTAATGGACAGGAGATTGGCAGCTACCTCGAAATTCCACGTCGGAAATGTTCACTGCACAAAGCATTTCAGAACTGGGAGACATGTGGATAGTTATTGAGTCAATTTGACCTACATTTAATGAATGCTGGCTTAAAAAGTATGGCTCTGATCTTCCATTTTTGGAAAATCCTTGGGTAACTTCCAAATTGCAAAAAGGACCAAGTACACTGGAGAAGCTCGAATCAATCAAAAATTAAAAGTGGTATTCTTAGGATCCAAGGACATACAGTGCGTAATGATGTATAGAAGCCAAGAACACTTACACACAGAATAAAAAGTTAGTGAGGAAAGATGAAGACACTAAACAAAGAGGCTCAAAGACCATACTGCCCTCCCACAGCTGAAACCCCTTCCCATGTGGCAACACTGGCCACAGGTGTGTGCTGGCTGACACACAGCTCAATGGAACCAACCAGAAAAGGGCTTCTTTAGCCACTTCCTAATCTTCCGCAGTTCTCTGCTTATCCCCCCTCTCTTCTTACCCATGATCCCTGCTGGTGCCAAAGAAAATCAGTTTACTATTAATTCGCTCTTGCACCCTGCTAAGCAAACAGGCTGTAATAAGCCCAAAGGAAATCTCCGCTGGGCCTGCCCTGAAGCTAAAAATTTGGGTAATATTTTTATATATCAGACATGTGCCATACCTTACACAGAAGGGACTTGAAAATAGGAAATTGTCTTCCAAAGATTTTCAGGCTAATAACTGATTAGAATTGGTTATTCACTTATAAATAAATTAGTTATGCAAATGATTTGCCTAGATTTGAAAAGCATTGCTTCACAACACAGTCTTGGAGGCATACCTAAGTAAATGTCATCAGAGTGACCTTTGAAAACAAGAAGGTTCTCAATAGCAAGTTAAAATGTTGTTCTGAGACTTCAAAGAATCCGTTAATATGTGTAAGTTATATTACCAAGAACTGACCAGACTAAGAGAGAAACTATGAAGGATGTGAAATTCCCAGCCTGGGCTATCTTGCCATGTGGCCAAGAATCAGGAAACCGTAACGATAGTAGAAAGGGGTTAGCTAGAAGCACTGAATATTTTTGTAACTTGCAGCAGGACATGTAATGTAATTTGCCCCAGTAATTATAAAGCCAATGTAAAAAGGAAGTATCTTCTTAATTCATTAAGAACACTAGCTCTAACCTTGAGCACCACAGCCTTTAAAAGGGAAGCTGCAGGCACAGTACAATTGGTTTAATTCTCAAATAAAAACTGCCCAAAGGAATTAAGGCAAAGCACATGGGTGTCCATGGCATTCAAAAAACCATCTGATTACTAAAGTTCAAAGAGACAGATCTAGCTGAAAGATATCAGATACTTAAGACCAACTGGAAGCTATTCTTGTGCAGTTGTTTTCTGTAAAGTCTGGGAGGGAAAAGATTAGCAATCGAGGAATTACTCTTCTATACATTAACATGTTTAGGATAAAGCTGAGAAATCAATATTTTAAGAAAACAGTTACAGTGGCACACACATCATTATTTGACTTTTTAACATGCCTATGATCACTTTTTAGAAAGAACATTTCTGACCAAATTTATAGAATATACTTTTAAAAATGAACCATTTGCACTTGCATTCATTATAAATCTTTTTTCTTTCTTTTCTTTTTTTTTTTGTATTGTGTGTAATCAGCATTGGGTCCAAATTCATAAATGCAAAAACATTTTAGGCTTCACTAGAGTACAGGTATCTTAAATGATACTTTTAGTACTTCTAGAAGAGGCCTTCAATTTTCTTTTGATCTGTAAATTTACCTGCCAGGAAAAAACTCAGTAGTTTCTTCCTATTCTGTTCACTTCATCAAAGTCCAATAAAGGAATTAAATGAAGCGACAGTATGATATACTGTTACCTAGATCTTGACCTAGTAATTGATTTGATATCCTTCTTGTCGTCGTCTAATTTCTTGTCCTCAGAAGATTTTGTGTCTTGCAGGTTCTCATCACCCTCATCGTCAGATTTGATCTCAGAGCTGCCGGAGGAGACACTCTGCCCCTGAAGTCCTGGTGGCATGCCTACAGGAAAAAAAAAACAGACCAGGTGACACGTTTGCTGAAACCTCGGTGCACAAACACTCACCCCCCAGACCTCGAGGCTGCCAGCCAGACGATTCGCACTGCTGAACTGTGATCCTTCTGTCACTCTTTCCCTGCTATCTGGTGAAGTTTCAGAAATGCACCTGCGGAAATAAGTTTTCCCTGCAGTGGCTCTGAGGTTAAATTCTATTTTGCAATCTTTTGGAGTAGATGGTAATTTCACTGTCTACAAAACATCAACTTAATTGCAATGAAAATCATAATCATGAAAATCACACACCTCAATGTTCTGATTAAGAACCCAAGTAAATATCAGCTATTATATTGAGTTTTTTTCCATATGCAATGATTTAATAGAAAAATGTCCTTAAAATATAATTCCCAGGGAGTACGCTAAATATATGCAGTCAAGACTTCAATAGATAGCCTAATGATATTCTGAAATTAGGCTTCCCTTATCCTCAAGGAGTAATCAGCATTAAAAATGGTACATATGGAAGGCAGTTCTCTGCTCACTGAAGAATATTCTAGCTTTATCATCGCTAAACTTTCTAATATCACACTATGTTTTAAAATGTGACTTTAATGTAATTTTATTTCTTAGTCGATGAATGTCTATTAAGTATTTCCTTCCACTTGCAATCTATGTATTCTAGAACCCTATTTCTCAAAATTTGGTCCATGGTCCAGGATCATCCTTATCACCTAGGAGCCACTAGAAATGCCAAATTCCAAAATTAATAAATCAGAATCAGCCTTTGAATGTGATCCTTGGTTCACGCTTTTCACATTACAGTTGGAGAAGTACAGATCTAGGGCAAAGAGAGCAAAACCAAGAGCTCTGCCAGATTATTACTGCTCAGATAAAACTGAATAGCCATACCCATATATATAATTAACGCTCAGATAGGTATAAAAGTTAACAGTTGAAAGATATTATATGGACTCCGGAGGCAGTGTTATTGTGTTTATTTTAAATGTGCAGGGAATCAGAAGATGTTCTTGAAATGACCGATGGATTGTCAGCTGGCCAGTGAGTCGCACAGAGAACCTAGACCCAGACCTTGTAGCACCACTTCCTGGGGGCATGAAAAGTCAGGCACATGAGGCACCATGACATGGCTAGATGACTCAAGAGCGAAAACCACAACCATGTTCCATTTTAAAAACGTACCTATATTTCCTTCCATCTCAAACAACTAAAACAATTTCCTTCCATCCTATTCATTTGAAAACATCATTTTCAGGCCACAAGTAACCACATTAGAGGACCTGAATGGGTAAAATGTGGAAATAGCTAAAATATCATTTCCTCTCATCAGTCTGCTGTCTCATTCCCTACTGAAAGGGGACCAGGATTTTCAGAGGATGTTGGAGGAAAACAGTTACTGAAGAAACACGATTAGCAGGCTAGGTTCTCACTACTTTCCCATGTACTTACCATTTTTGTACCAAATTTGATTCTTGGTTTTCTGCCAATGCTTCCTGAGGGCTGCCCACCAAGGACACGGGGCAACAACACTGTGTGTCTTGTTTACAGGAGGTCAGAAGTGCCCTTCCGAGGCACACTTACCTCTGTAAGGGTCCTGGGGTGGGTTCAAGTCCGGGGAAGTTGCAGACTGGACTGGAAGCTGTGGAACCGGAACCTGATTTGGCAGAAGAGAATGGCTGCCTCTCAGGGCCACACCATCTTCACGATGGGCCCCAACCTGAAAGCATGAGAGGAGCCATTGTGATCAGTGGGAATGGGAGGCACCACAGCTGTTTCCAGGGGCAGCCAGGACCTGGAAGCAGGAAGGCTGGCCTCTGGAAAACAATCCTCCCACAGGCGTTTCGCTAGAGGGCGCTGGAGGACTGCACATGCACCTAGAGTTCTCTGCAAAAACACTTAACGCTCAGTGAGATGCCGTGCTGTACATCCAGTGACAAATATGGCAGAGTAGCTCAGGCAGGTAAAACGTCAAATTGTCTCCCAGGGTGCTGCAGTGGAGCGCACGGATTCGTACCCATCTGTCTTCTATCATGTCCGCCAACAGATCTGACAATTATCTTAATGCCCATATGCTTAATTGTGGGCTTCTCAATTCCCCCATTGCTATCGGAAATCCTACAGGAATTTCAATTTGGCATTCGACTTTCATTTCAGGGGATAAGATTCTCAGGCCTGCCATTTTTTTTTTCCATAATGCCAGCTAAGCCTCTGACAGCAGAAGCTACAGCAGTATGGGACATAGCCCCTGCTCGGTACAAATATAATAAAATGTCACCTGGCTTTCCAACACTGGCAGTCCATTCCAAATTAATGTTTACTGTATTTCATCAGCTGCTGAGTTCCAAATCCAAAGGGGGACCATTTGTGCCAATGCCACCACACCGGAAAATGTACCAATAAAGGTTTTATTAAACACACCAGTAAAGCCATGATTGCCATGTGAGGATGTTTGGACATTTTTCCATTTTTTCCCTCCACTACTCTGATCCTAGAAAGACACCATATTGTAAACACTCTTTGTGTTTCCAAGAATAAAATTATAGAGTACAGCATGATTACTTGATTTGGAGAGAAAAAAAAATACTGCTGAGTTTTTTTTTCATTAACTACTACTACCTACTATGGAGTCCAGAGACATTGAACTTGTGGCACTGGGACAGCAGTTGCTGACTTTATAGCAGATGCCTTAAAGCAAAACCATTAAGCATTTGTAAACCAAGAGAAACCTAAATAGCTCACATTTGCGTTTGTGTTTTTATGTAGTTTTTTTTCTTAGCCTATTGTTAAGGGAGCATTTATGCCAGCCAGTGGGTCTAACACTAAAAAATATTTATGCATGAATTTATTCAGCTCTGAATCAAGGGTTACTTTTTCTAATTCAAAATACATATAAGATCACAAAGCAGAATTTTCACTCTTTGGTACCAAAATGTTTTATAAGAGTTTTTCCAAAGAATGCATAAATAGTAACAATGTGAAGCAACAACACACTCACAGGACTGAAGCACATGCACATTATTTAAAGGCAGCCAAGTATCAAGAATTTTATATGTGTATGTGTGTGTGTGTGAATATATGGATGTAGTTTATATGTACATGAATATACACACTCCTACATAATACGAAAGACAATAATTTGCTGGGGACGGGCATCAGGAGGATCACATAAATTGTACTAATTGTTCAGACTGAAAAACAATGAGAACAGTAAAGGACACTGTCCACACCAGGGAATATAAGCACTTCAGCTGAGAGGCTGGGAGTCCGTGCTATGGCACCGGGTGCCTGTGTTGCAACATACACTTGCTGATCCGGGGTAGGTCAGCCCCTGTGTGGCTATTCTATGCATTGAGCCCCTGAGCTCATTCCATGTTTAACCACAAACTGGCCTCTTGGTGGATCTCTCCCGCTGGCCCAGAGTTCCAGCTGTGCTACAAGTGCAAGCCCGTCCCATACACTCAACTACTGCCACACCATCCTGGCTTTCCTCTGAGACTGGGGTCCACTCTCTTACAGGCAGGCTGGTCTACCCCATTCCTTCAACCACGCCTTGCTCACTCTTTCTATACGACATTCTTTCCCCAGGAAAGAAGAAGAGTCATTTTATATCCAGGTTTTGATTTGCCATACTTATATTTGTGCACACAGAAGATAGATTCAGTGATTATACTTTGGGACTAAGATCTCAACTTGGAAGCATGAATTTGACAGGCCTTAATCAAATGACAGCTAAAATCTAAAAATCAATGTGAACCTAAATAATTATCTTAGAGCCAATTCATATTTGTTGCTGTTCCCAATGAATCTAATTTCTTGAATTTCCACAAAGGATGGTACTCAGTTGGAATCACTGAAGATGACCACTGATTCAAGCTTAGCAGAGCAGCTTGCTCTTTATGTTTCATAAGCATTCTATAAACACTCTCAAGCATTTGTGGTCATCTGTGATATCATTTAAGGCTAATGTTTTATTTTTTTATTTAAATCATATTAAGGTATTAATCTTGAAAAATTTCTCCCTCTGCATCACATTCAGAATGGTTCTTATAAATGGTTCTTATAAGAGCCAATTGCCTTTATATTTTTTATTTATTGCCTCAGCTGATTAGGAAAGTCGCTATAACTGGTATAACAGTGAGAGCAGAAGTGTCTAGAACCTAAATGAAGCCGGTTTCTTTGTCAGCTGTGTAATCATTATTTAAGTTGCTCAAATGCAAAACAAAGAAAACAACACTAAGTTATAGAGAGCAAGTCTCCCAGGCTTATCACAAAGAGTATCAATAATATATGTAAGCCTAGCACAGTGAAGCATTCCTATAATCCCAGAAGCTCTGGAGGCTGAGGCAGGAGGGTCTTGAGTTCAAAGCCAGCCTTAGCAAAAGCAAGGCACTAAGCAACTCAGTGAGACCCTGTCTCTAAATTTAAAAAAAACAAAATAGGGCTGGGGATGTGGCTCAGTGGTCGAGTTCTAAATTCTATCTCTGGTAACAAAAAAAAAAAAAAGTATATGTAAAACAATGAGTACATAATAGTTACACACAGTTTATATCTTATCTGAAAACACTTGCTTATTACATAAAATTGAGAGTCCATGAAGTCCAAGAGCTCTGAGCACTCAAGCTTCAATCTACCTTCACTTATGATCATCTTTGCACTCACTGTCTATTTTCACATTTGGTTGATTTTAAGTCTTTCTCCTCTACAATGACAGTGAAATTGTAAAGAAGATAAATACAATTGAAAGTATAGTTGTTTCAACTACCATTTTGTTTGGATTTTAGGTATATGTATTACCTCACTCTATTTTCTACGGGTCACTAGGTCATTTCAAATACTATCAGTCAATTTCCATGAAAGAAGTAGTAGATAAAGTTGTTAATATTTAAGGCTTTGCTGTGTATTTCAGGACACGTGGATGATGGCTGAAAGGTTCAGATCCATGTGGTAAAGAGTCTGATTCTCCAGGATCAATTCCACTGCTTGCTTACTTGGCCCCAGACAGCACATTCCAACCCTATTTACTTCAGAAATATTGTTTCTGTTTACAGGAGAGCCAAGAGAGATGGTGGATGATAACACAAATTTACCACGAGAACAGCTCAGCAATAAGATGGAGGACCCAATACCACCACTAATAAATACAGGGGTCAGTGATGTGTCCACCTCTCCTATAACAAATAGGTAATAATGTATTAGGAAAAAGCAGATTCTTTCAAGCTACAAGTTGACTCAAAGTATGACATATGGTACCTATGTTTAGAAAACTCATACTTCATTAAAGATCTATTTTGATAAACATTAAGATAACAATAAAATTAAAAGCCAGCTTATAAAAACAGTTAAATAATACTGATTGCATTTTTTGCTATGTTTAAGAACATTGTCATAGACTCTTAGAATGTAGTTTTAGATATAATTATGCTAAAAGATACAGGTAAAATTTAATAATTATTAGATAATTACTAATCAGTTGATCAGAATACATTTATTAATTCAGAAAACATTATCTAATCTACTCGATGCTTGTCACTCTAACTACAGCCTGTTTTCCTCTTTCATGGTGTCTCTTGGTACCTTTCTTTGGGGGTTCTAACTCCCTCTCTCCTTAGTATTTCCAGGTTCTGAATGCCAAGACTATCCAAGGGCCAGCACATCACTTTGAAGCAGACATAGGCTATGCTATGAATAGGCCACCCTAGGATCTGGTGTTTTGTGATCCAATGAGTTACAAAAGAATGAGCAGATAGAATCACATGGCCCAAACATGGCTTGGCCTGACTGTCTGCATACCTGGTAAGTCATGACTGGTACCTCTATGTACAGATATCTAAGTTACCCTGAATCTTAGGTCAAGATAGATTCCAATTCTGGCACATCCATTTCAATTTTATCCCCTGTGAATTTATCATTGGGAATAATTAAATTAAGCATCATAATTTTAAATGATCATACTTTCTGGGGAAAAGACTGATTTACTAGAAGTTCTTTAAATTCCCAGAATATAGACTTTCAGGGTTTGGAGGAACTTGGACATAAGTTAGGTAAAATTCAATTTCATAAAAAACAAAAAATGTGCTAAGGTGGAGAATGGCTGAGTGACTTAGCCAATGTCCAGTTAGAGAACTAAAATAGATCTTGAACTCAGGCAACTTTTAACATTGAACAATTTGAATGGGCATATAAACATACACAGGGGAGGGAAGCAGAGTTCAGGGTCCAAGGGGGTTTACTTTCTGGAGATTTTGTTTTAAACCAATGTGCGTACATGTATGTGTGCACACACATACCTATAACAAAGACATTTTCAGGCATATATGTGCATATGAGTATCCAGATCTGAAGATCATTTTAGTTTTCTTTATCATAGGAAAAAATTTAAAGTTCACCAACTCAGGCCAAGGCCAAACTGTCTAACTAAATTACAAAATTTAATATTTGCCACAAGTCCTCCAACATAAATCGATTTAAAAGACATGCAGCTTCAAATTAGGTGCTGTTGGCCAGGCTGCTTTTATACAGGGATGCGAGGTTGCCTACAGCATCTTGGTAAATATCCTGTCCTTATCCTCAAGCTAACAACAAATGCCACAAACAAAAAAGACATTCAATGCTTTTGCTCTCTTTGTTTCCAGGGAGTATTGTGAAAGTAATTATTCTGTTGTATTTAAGAGGCCTATTTCATGGATGGGAAAATGTATTAAATTTCATTTGGCAGTT